TAAATAAAACTGCGTATAATCAATTTAAATATCTTATTCTATTTTGTTACATAAAATAAAAGCTCAACAAATAGATAAAACAGCATATAAAGTGTAATTCAACATTCTATACATATAAAATTTTGCAATAACAAGCTAGAATTCATAGTCGATTCTTATAGTTCAAATATTAAGTCTTAAAATAAGAACGAATATGAATACAATGATTTAGATACAATATCGACTTTTTTTTCCTCGAAAAAGCATATATAATTATAATGATGTTAAAAAACTATGTACAAAATAATAATTAAAGTCATTTAAAGAAGGAACGAGAATGCAACGTTAATAATATTCAATATATTTGTGTTAGATGATTATAACCCCAATATATATACGTAGCAACAGTATAGAGACAAAAGCACTTCAAAATGACAAGTATTTTTATGCATTTCGTTTTATGGAGCAAAGCATCAAACTTACCCGATTGATCCGTTGCTTCGTCAGTTGCCATAACGCTCGCGTGAGAAAGCTGTAAATTTACTCAAGTGTTTTCCGAAGGAAGGACGCTTCAACGAATACTCGACGCGCATACAAAATGGAGTGAAATGACCGAACGAAATATTTTACACACGGCTCTTTTATTCCTTTTGAAAATGCTCGAATAACAGACTAACAATTAACGCGCATTAATCGTCACGTATCGTTCTCTCGTAGTAGCTCCTGCCTGCGTAGTTCCTTGGCTAACTCGGTTTGCTGCTGCAGAATGTAGACATTTTCTGCCTTTCGGCGCTCTTGTCGTTCGATATCGCGTATCACACCCAAGTGCAGCTGCTGCCTGAAATGTTTTTGCAATCTAATGTTAGTTATGAGGACGGTAAAACGTCTTTCAACACGGTATCTACCTGTCGTAAGACTGCTTGTAATGCACGTAGCCTATTATTCCGACGGACGTCATGCAACATAAACCGAAAGTGATTTTAGACGCGTTCGACATTCTTAATTCTCGAGGAGAAGATGCGCAGTTATCACCGTGAAATCGCTCGCGCGAGGCACGACGGGATAATCGATTATTCTCGATTCTCACGCGCGTTATTTAATTTTCGTCAAATCGAAGACTTTATATTTTTATGAAGCTTTATATTTTTATTCGATTTGCTTAAAGGAAATTGAACATGAGAAAAGACAGAAGCCTAAGATCGGTATTCATAGTCAGTTCTTATATTCAAGATCGTCTTAAGTTCTATCTTGAGATGTCATGAATCAATAAGAGAGCTGCATTAATGTCATAAGATATTACTTACAACAGTCTTGAAATAAGAACCGATTATAAATATCGATCTAAGACTTCTATATTGTAATTCTTAAAAAAATTCTTTTTATATTATATAAGAATTTGATCAAAATTTAAGAATAAGTGTGTAATTAATACTATTATCGACGAAATAAAATAAATACTATTAAAGACTATCAATTTTCGATATAAAAAGAGATTTGTAGGTAATTGAAGAACGCTGACATTATCGATATACATTAATATAAATTTGCCATTATTAACATAAATATTTGGCTCATACATTATTAAATTTATGATTTTTTTACGTAAATGTTCTATAAATAAATATGTATACTTTTAAAGCTATAATATCCTATACGTTGCAGAAAAATTACAATCTCTGCAGTTATCATCTCTGTTGATAATCAAACTTTGATGATAAGACTGAAATCACAAATCAATTTTAAAGAAAAATCGAGTATTATTGAGTGTTCTAAATGTGTAAATATGTTTACTAAACTAATAAATTATAAAATTAGTACAATATTATCAGTTTTTAACTCTTAATCACTTCAATATTCACAAGGATCCGTAAGGATATCGATCTTTAATTAATCATGGTGGATGGGATTGACAATTGCTTCCGCCATAGTTTTTTAATAGAATCTCGTCGGTGATATTACTTATAGCAGAAAAAAACTTGAGAGAGGCCATGTCTATTATCGTCGAAATCTGTACACTACTGCCAGTACATCTATTTTCATTTTGGGAATTACGTGACATTCATACATTTTCTGATACTATCGATAAAATTGTATTATCGAAAGTAGATATGGTTTGTCTCTGTACTAAATCCTCAGGATAGAAGCGTGCCATAGGAGGACTATCCATAGGAGGACTAGTTTAATGGGTCCTTGAATGAAAAAATTTTAATTTTGCATCTTCTATATATGTAAATAAAAGTTGTTGAATTTTAATAAAACAAAATTGAAAATTCAAACAAGAGTTAATTTAATGAATTTTCTTATAATATTTATCTTATAATATCTTAGAAAATTATAAAGTTATATTTCTATATACAAATTTTCAGATCATTTTTATCAAACATAATTATTATAGTATATATCAAATAGCGATTTCGGCTAAGATGCATTAGTGTGCATTGGTGCATATAAAGACCGTTGTACAATGAAATAGCGATTTCGGCTGGGATGCACTAGTGCACATAAAACTGTCATACAATTACCGTAAAAATGTATTAAAAACAGATTAAATCGTACAATCCTCAATATATATATTATTGTTCTGTTAATAAAACATGTATTTGATAATTTTCATTTCGTTTTTGCATTCATAGTGATTTCGGCTGGGATGCATCGATTGCACATTTCGGGTGTCGGTGCAACTGGTATGTTCGACTGGTTGAATGGTGTAATTCCTCGCCAGTGTCGCATATTCGCTTGGACTTGATATACCACACAAGTGCACACAAGTGGCTCCGACAAATTTATTGGAGCCAGTTGGTGTAATTGTTGGGCTTAGTGCTTTCATGAGAAGCTGAAAAGCAGCATGGTGTGATCACATGATATTAATTTTGTCACTAATGTCTGATTTCGGAAGTGGTTTACTTTGATGCTACAAACGCTTCAAAACTTTTACTTGATCAATTGGAAGAAAGACTTTTACATGACCAATCAAAAAATGCTTCGAAATATTAGTAACAGCAAGTGGATTGTAGCCTTCATCTGAAAATTGATAAGCAACTTGTAGCGTCAATTTTGATTTTATGAGTGATTTATGTGTACTCATGGAATTTTTGACATCGTCAAGTGACGATGACGAATTAATATGGACAGAACATAAAAAGAGTTAGAGCGAAAATATAAAATTACATTGATGAAATCGTGCGAAAAATGTCCGATGAAACAATAAGTTTTGCAGGTTAAATTAAAACTAATATTATATTATTAATATTATAATATTAGATAATATTTAATATTTATGTTTTTATTATGTATTTATATTATATTTACTCATACTACTCGAAAAGGAAGCCATCGATATAAACGTGTCCATTTGTATTCCTAAAAAGCACAAAGAAGAAAGTGAAAATTAGAGAGCCTCACAGAGAGAGAGTGGCAAACTGCATCATGAACTCCTTTGATTGGGTATGGCATCAAAGTTTCAAAGGCATAGAAGAGATTGGAGAAAACTGATCACTCTGTGACGTCCTGATTGAACGTGATGCAATCACGTGATGACAATTTGTCACTTTCTCCCTGTGAGAACTTTCTACTAAAAATCGGTCACCTCAAATCGGGTACATTTCTCGAAAATGGCAAAACTGTTCTTCAAATATTGGACGCCTGCGACCATGATACCGCACGCGACCAGTATTATAGATCGATAATAAAATTCACATTTCGTGAATCTCGTGTTCGCCTGACGAAACATACACTGCCGTGGTGATAGGTATTAACAGTGTACAATGGTCTTGATATGCACCAGTGCATGTTAGTGTTTCCAGCTGAAATCGCTTAGTTCGTATAATCGTGCTACATTTACAAACAATGGATCAGAAATATTCATCTTACATGCGCGTGATGTTTATTTCACTTATGCCCATTTTCACCAATCAATCATTTTCATCAATGTAGATTAATTTTAATCTCGGTTTCAATACTCTTCGTCTTTTTCTAGTTCTAAAGAGAATTAGAAAAGAAGAAAGAGTAAGTTAAACCGAGATTAAAATTAATCTACATTAGTGGAAATGGACATTAATGTCCATTTTTCTAATTTTAAAAATCAGAAAAGAACAGAATAACCCAGCAAACGAGAATAGATTAAAATTTATTACGGATTGAAAATTTTTTTCTATCCGTAATGCGTATTTTAAATAGCAAATACTTTTTTTTACTTTTAATTGGATTCAATTAGATGCAATTGGATTGAAAAACTGTATTTCCTATCTAAAACTTTGAATTGAACAGTATTCTCAATTGTGTTATTACATAGCACAGAAAAAGCTAATATTATTTTTAGATTGAAAGGCATAGAGATATGCTCCATGCAATTCCTATAAATGAATAAAAATGCATTCAAGATTGAAAAGCATTCATTTTAACATTCGTGAATCAATATTTCTGAAAATCTGAATCTATTTCAATTCATTTCAATCCATTCTCATTCGCTGGAAATTTAGCAAAAACGAGCTATAGAAACCCTCCACCATCCCCGCCAATTTTATCGGCGGTCCTCTTTTCTTTGTAAGTATAGTCACCCATAAAACAAACAAGCTACTAATAAATTTAGTAGCCCGTTTATGTAGTCCAGCAAACGTGAATGGATTGAAATGAAATAGATTCAGATTTTCAGAAATATTGATTCACGAATGTTAAAATGAATGTTTTTCAATCCTGGATGCATTTTTATTCATTATATTTGTAGGAATTGCATAGAGCATATCTCTATGCCTTTCAATCTAAAAATAATATTAGCTTTTTCTGTGCATTGTACTGTTTAAATCAAAATTTTGAATAGGAAATGTAGTTTCTCAATCTAATTGCATCCAATTGAATCTAGTTGAATACAATTAAATCCAAAAAAAATATATTCGCTATTTAAAATACGCATTTTCGGATGAAAAATAAGAAAAAAATTTCAATCTATTTTAATTCATTCTCATTTGCTGGGAGATAAGTATATCTTTAATTTATTTTTTTGTTTTTATGTCTAACTATTTTATTGTATTTCGCTAATGAAATTGCAATAACTTTTTAAATATTATTCTTTATTGTATTATTCTTTACACAATTCGATATTACAATCATAGTAATTATTTACAATACAACATACAATTATCAATGTTGTTCAAAATAATAAAAATGATAATAGAACGAATTAACAAATTTTTAATGCGGGATTATACGAAAACGTCAAAAATACATACGATAACAATGAATATATATTGATAAACGTAGAAGAAATACTAATAACAATTAGATCGTATTTACTATTAGCGATAATTATTTACTATTAATTATGTATTTATTAATAATTTGCGAATATAAAATTTAATAATATCGCGACAAAAAGTCATTTATAACAGCACTTTCATGACGTTCAAGATAACTATATAATTTCAATAATTTCATATCAAAATCCCTCCGCCTCGTAGTATGCTGATTATATGAATATCCGATACAAAAAAGAACAATTTACATAATGGAAAGTGCAAACTTAATGTCTGATTTTTCTGATTCGACATAAATTTTACAAGATCCATTTGCAAAGAAAAGTTAAACAATCCGTCAAATACCAGTGATCTTGTTAGGGGACTGTGAATCCCGAATCTTTCAGACTACTTAGCAATAATAATAATTTTAGTAGCATGTCAGTTACAATTACAATTATTTTTGTCACATCTTTAATATAATATTAAAATTCGCCAGAAAATATGTTCTGCCACACGTGACTAAAAATCATCTCTTATTAAAAATAAACGGATAGAATGATTTCCTTATGCAATAGTGGTTACGAAGGAATATATTTAATAATAATAAAATACATGCATTATTGTAATTTTTTATATGTATGGGTACAAAAGTTTCTCGAGTACCAACTGTTCGAGATGAGCCGAATCCGATAACAACAAAATTTTAAAGAACATTTATACTGAAAAATTTATCAATTTTTTATTTTTCAAACATTATAATTATTAATATCCCGCTAATATGAGGGTA